ATAGATAGATAGATAGATAGATAGATAGATAGATAGATAGATAGATAAATAGACAGATTGATTGAATGTATGTGCGTACATATTTATGTGTGTATGTATAACACTGAGAGTCCCTCTCGGCTGTCCTCTGTGACTTCACGGCTTTTCTACTTAGAGACTCACCTGAAAAGTTGGTCCCAGTTCTCGCAAACTCTGGTTTTCGGTTAGTCTTGACTGAAAAGCATTCTGTGATGTTTGTAGGGACTGGAGCAAGCGAGTGAATCAGGCTTGGTACAAGGCCCGCCCAGGCTGCCACCAAGGTAGGTAACGTGGGGCAGTGGAGGGGTGAACGCCTTGCAGAGCTGGCTCTTGTTTGCTGTCCAGATGTAGGCTGTGAGCCTTAGATCTTGTCTTGGAAAGAACCTCCTGAGTCTGCCCAGTCTGCGTGTGACAGCAGGTTTGGGGACTCTCTGATCTCTTTTTCTTTTAACAAGATCCAAAAACCTACAGAGCACAAACTTTTTCCAAACTCTGGAATCTGCTCATAAACAGTCTCCTGTTAAGAGAGGCAGGCCTGTTTCTCAGCACCGCTGAAGGGAGCTCAAAGGTGGCCTGGCCCCTCAGCTCTGGAGGTGTTTGAACAAAGGCTGTCATGCTTTCAGAAAGCCAATATTGCCATGCTGAAATTCATTTGCATTTAGAGATTAGGAAAAAGGTTTTCAAAGTAGTAGCTGTCCCGTTCCGTTTTCAGGACTTGTTTATGCTGATCTGAATTAAGGCCTGCAATGTGAACATCGGGACTTTGGCGTCCCTTTTTCTAATTATGCAAAGGCCCGAACACATAAACCTGATATTGGCACATGAATAAGCTTTTGTCTCAGACTGTTAGAAAGTTCTTAGCTTCCTGATATAGTCAGTGGGATTAGGAGCAGTTGGGGCCTTGGAGAGCTCATGACAGTAAATGCTTGTTTGTCTTGAACTAATGAATCTCTAGTGCAAGATAAGAGGAAGCTGGAGCATCATGGTATTTCCTCTAATATAATGTTTAATGCAACAGTCATTTGCTCAAAAATAGCATAGCCTGCAGGTTTCAGTAAATTGTATCCCGCTAGCAAAAAGGCTCTTCATGCCTGCGCCAGGCTGTGTGTGTGTGTGTGTGTGTGTGCAAGAAAGGATGGAACAGAACCCAGATGAGATCAAAATGCTGATCATGGCTCCCCTTTGCCTTTCAGACCTGTGCATGGAAAAGTCATTCCAGTTTGGAGGCCTCCTAAGGGGGCCCCTGAGAGACCACCGCCCCCTAAACTCTCTGCAGCCAAATCAAGCAAAAGCCTGCCTTTCAGTCGGTCCTCGTCCGACATGGATCTTCAGAAAAAGCAGGGCCCCCTGGTGTCTGGACTCCCAAAAGCCAAGAGTCAGGTCTTTAAAAACCAAGATCCGGTGCTACCCCCTCGCCCCAAACCGGGACACCCTCTTTACAGGAAGTACATGGTAAGCCCGGGCGTTAAGTGTCGGCGCTTAAGGGTTTGTGCCAGGAGAGAGACCTCAGTCCTCGGGAGGGTGATAAAAGCAAGTGTGGACTTGGCCCTGACACGGGAAGCTGTAGAGGCTGCAGAGGCCACAAAACCTCAACTTTCTCGGGGGGGGGGGGGGGGGGCTCGGTGCTTTAGAGCACTTGTTCTTGTGTGTGGACACCCCGCTGTGGTTCCTGTCACCCAGAGTTCCCTCACTCTGCTTCCAGAACACGTGTGATGCACACACATACAGGCCGGCGAAATGGTCACACACATGAGACAAATATTAAAAAAACAAAACAAGAAAACCCGGGTTTTCAAGACAGGGTGTGGGGGTCAGGAGAAGCACCCAGAAGGGAAAGCAGGCAGGCAGGAATTCTCACTCTGACCCAGGAGGGGCTGAGGTGGAGGACCTGCCTAGCGGACGCTCCATCTCCTGTTGTAGTTTGTGCTTTCCAGCTGCTTAGCACACTAAGGGAGAAGCATCTAAATGAGTAGAAATTAAGCTTTTATTAAGATCAATGGACGTTCTTACAGTTTATTCCCATTCTGTAAGCATAATTATCACGGCCCATTTAATAGCTTCTAGTTAAAAGTTCTTATCAGTAATTGAGATCATTGAATATTAATTTTGTTCTCTTTGGATGTTTTTCATCAGATGACTTTTGCGTGTGTTTCCACAACTGACAGAATTGATTTGCTTTCTGTGTGGTCGGGTCAATGCAGAAAAGCATGAAAATTCCCTCAGAAGCGGGGCAGGGACAGCCGTGTTTTTGGAGCAATTGTACGGCAGTGTGTCACAGTGTTAGTGACTCTATCCTGTTCTCTCTCACGCTCGCTCTGTCTGCTAAGATAGAGTATAGACTAGAGAGACTGCTCAAACCCAAGGGACAGTCTTTGGGACAGCTGACTTAATGAGGTGAACAGTAATTGGTGTGTATTGAGAACTAGTTACAAGCTAGGCACTATTCCAAACCAACCTCGTAGATTAGATACTGTTGTTATCTCCATTATACAAATAAGGAAAATGAGACCAGGACAGAGAGTTAAGCAGGGAAAGCAGAGCTTCAACATGGAACAATTGGCTTGGAGGCCACACTCCTCCTTCGGCTTTGGTCATCCTAGGCCAAGATTGTCTGCTCAGTGGAACCGGGCTTTTCTTGGCTCTGCCCATAGTTGTACAGAGTCAGAACACTTACGGAATTCAAGCGAATCCATAACTCAAAATGATGTCTCATGGTGAAGGATTAAGTTCACCTCCCAGGCCGCACTCTGGGAGTCTAGCATGGGTGCCTGGGCCGTGGGGAAGAGGCCCACTAGGCCGCCCCTCCTTCTCTGCGCTTGCTCTCAGAGTCGGAGCAGGCAACCCCCTGCCCCAGGCCTTCAGAGTGTCACACAGAACGCGCACGAGCACTCACCAGCCAAAATTTACCAAGGCAGGAGCAGAGCCTCGGGCCTGGGGCCCGGGCACAAAGCCATGGTAGGATGGCGCTGGATGGGAGCAGGAGGAGAGTGCGGGCAGCGGGGAGCACCAGGGAGCACCGGCGGAGCCCGCAGAGAGCTGGCCTCGGCCTCAGGCCCCCGCGCTCCCGCACTGCCCCCGCGCGCTCGAGCGTTTGCACCTTCGCACGCGTGCACATCCTAATGTCTTCCTTTCCGTTTAAGCTGTCGGGGCCCCGCGGCCTGGCCAGCGAAGACGCTGCCTCCCCGAGCCCCGCGGAGCAACCCTGCAAGGTAGGCGCCGCTCCCCGCCCGCCGCGCGGATCCTACCTGCACGACCCTGCGTGGCTCAGAGGGCGGTGGCCCTTACAGCAGGGACAGCTCCGGGCCCCGCCGTGGGGAGGGCGCGGGCGGGGGAGGGCGCGGGCGTGGGGAGGTCCCCGCCGTGGGGAGGTCCCCGCCGTGGGGAGGGCGGCAGCGTGGGGAGGGCGGCAGCGTGGGGAGGGCCCCGCCGTGGGGAGGGCGCGGGCATGGGGAGGGCCGTGGGGAGGGCGCAGGTCACCACGCACAGGAAAAGGTCATGGCCCGCGCGCTGGAGGAAATGACCGTGATCACGGGGCGGCGCCGTGTTCTGTCTCCGTCGGTGGCTGTGGGAGCCAGGACTCGCGAGTTTCAGCTGAGAGCGCTACCCCTTTAAACAAGGAGAACCCGTTATCTTTTTTGTTTGTTTCTTTTTGTTTATTTGTTTTGTTTCCTCAGACAGGGTTTCTCTGTGTGGCCCTGGCTGTCCTGGAACTGGCTCCGTAGACCAGGCTGGCCTCGAACTCATAGATACCCGCCTGCCTCTGCCTCTGCCTCCACCCAGCTGTGAACCTGTTTAGCACCAGAGGTTTTGTTTTTATAGTAGGATGAATCGATTACTTTAAAAGGAATCCTGCAAATGCTAAATCTGACGTAAAAGATTCCTTTAAAATGCAAGCTTAGCCCTGCAGGGGCAGGTGGATCTCTGAATTCTAGGCCAGCCTGCTCTACAGAGAGCCAGGGAATTTAGAGAGATCCTGTCTGAAAAACCAAAGCAAAAAAGCAAGCTTAGTCTGGCATGGCATGCTGGGCGCTCCCCATGTAATTCCAGTGCTTGGGAAGTGGGGCAGAGGGGCCAAGCTCTTCCTGGATGCCAGGGGAGCAGGTGTTGGGGGTGTCAGAGCCAGCCCTGGTGGCAGGAGACACTGTCTGGGGCTAGGAGGGAAGCTTCATGGAAACCTTGTTTCTCTGATTTAATAAGTTCATTAAATAATGAAGGATAATCCAGTGGGGCCAGACAGCAGTTTGTGGGGCCTGACCTAAGACACAGTGATTTCTAGGACGTTTGTTTAACAGTGCAGGAGGCAGCTGTCCCCGGCAGAGCCACACCGTCGCCTGTATTTATGGAAGACTGTAAACTTGCCAGTTAAGTTTCCACTCTGTTACTCAGGTAGCACACATGAAAACAAGCCCACCAGTCACTCAACTCAAGGAAAGAACACAGTTTGTTGCTCTGCCCAGATTTCATAATCTAGTCTCATTCCTTCTTCTTGGAAGGCAGTTTATCTTCTGAAGTTTTTCTAAGAAGCTGAAAATTCTGATTTTAGGGAGAGGAGATAATCTTCAGCTCGCACAGCTGGCATGTGAAAATCTAACTAGTTCACACAGGATGACTTCTCTTACCCATCTTCTCTGTCTGGGTCCAGCGTCTTCCATCTGCTGTAGCCACCATTTTTCTCTCAGAGCATCTTGTTTGGTAATGGCAGGACTTTCTCTGCCAAAAATAAAAAAATCTTCCTTTCATATATAAATATATTTTTAACTTAAAAATTAAAAATTGTAACAGTCCAAAATTTCCCCTCTTCGGACCTTGCCTCTTAGTCTCAGGCTGTGGATTTTTAGAGAACCGGCCTGCAGGGGCGTGGTATTGCCTGTGCTGGCTGTTACAGTCATTAGAAAATGCAGCTTGAGCAGCTCACTGGCCCAGCACTGATCTGGCCTACACTGGCGCTCATTCCCAAGACCATCAAAATCAGTGAGGAGGTCCAAAGCTGTGTCACACCTTCCCCTAAGCTGGTGAACAGAAGATACCGATTATGCTTGAATCTGAAGGTCATAGAGAAAGTGGAGAATTGTCCCCAAATGTTCCATCTAGCACCCTGGCTGGCCACAGACTGCACTAAAGCTGGTTGTGGTTTGGTTTGGTTTGGTTTGGTTTGGTTTGGTTTGGTTTGGTTTGGTTTGGTTTGTTGTTTTGTTTTGTTTCCACATGGGAAGAAGGTATGGTAACACCCAGCAGAGTTGCTTTTAGAATTGACGTATTGTCTGGAAACCCAGAAAAGGTAAATCCTAAGACAGAAAGTAGTTAGTGTTTGCTGAGGGCTGAGGGAGGGTAGAGGAGGAGTACTCCACAGCAGCAGCTGTTAACTCCCAGATGAATAGAACACTGCCACCGTTTCTTGAGCCAAATTTGAAGCAAGCTTTGTTAAATCCTGGCCAGGACAATGGACAGTGGCCAGGTCCTAGCAGGGATTCCCAGAGAAGGCTTACTGAGGGAAAACCCACAGGCTGTGTACGTCCCCGCTTTGTCCGGTCGGGGCGAGCATACATCCTGATGTACACTCTGGGTACCTCCCGACTGTGTGTGATTGGGGCAACCAACCTGATTAACAGAAGTGAAAACGCTCGGCTGGTTGTCTTATGTTCCAGGAAGTTATCTGTCCTAGGGCACCTGGGCTTACAGGTTAGAGGCATTTTTGTCTTATAGCTCTCTTAAGCACAGCAATTAAAACTTAAAACATAACTCTGGCCCTTACATAGGTCCTGCAGGGAAGGGCAGAGATCATGAAAATGATAGTTGCACAATTCTATGAGTGTCCTAAATGGATGTTTTATTTTGAATTGTATCTAACAAGTTAAGTTAACAAGTTAAGTGAGCGAACGTTAGTGCATGAAGGTGTTTGTCAGAGTGATTGGAGTAAGTGAGCAGCTAATTCCTGCTGTTAAAATATCATCTCTTGGCAGTAATAGAGGAAGACCTTTGAATCACCTTCCGCTTACTACCAGACATGCCCCCTGGTGGCAGGGCCTGGGTTGTCTGCCCCCTGGTGGACAATCCTGTGGAGCCTGTGCCCTCTGGTGAGCCTCTAGCTTGATTATTTGCAAGTCAGTAGCCATCCAGCCTAATACTGTTTATTGCATAGGCATTCCTCTTCCTACAGATATAAACCAGGAACGAATAAAAATCATACACACACACACACACATGCACACAATGCACAAACACAAAATTAATTACATAAATGGTAATTTTAAAGCCACTGGAAACCTAAAATAGCTCACAATTACCAACACTCCCATGTTGCCCATTTAGACAAAGGCAGTAAGCAGGAGCTAGGAAACTGTTGTTTGGTAAGCTTATCTAAAGGGCTGTGTCAGCCACTGTTGTCTGGAGCTGAGTACAGTTCTGCTTACCTGTATTAAGAATAGACAGTTTGCCCCTGTGCTGCGTTTTGGTTAAAAGAGCAGGAGGTTCAGGAAAGAGCTGACAGAATGCTGGGGGTGGGAAGAGCAGCCATTTCTCACGGTGATCAAGGCAGTGCACCGGGACTGTGGGAGGGACGGGGTGAACATCACTAAGAGGTCAAGGGTCACTGAAAAAGAGAGAAAAAGCACAAAAGCATCTAGCTTCATTTATTCCATAAGTTGCTAGTGTTGAAGAATTTAAGTAACGTCTCCTCAGTGTCCAGGCTGAGTACTTCCTCCCCTGTGAATAAGGCCCCGGCCTTGATTGCCAGCACCATTGAGGAAAGGAAGCAGCACCCTTTAACTGATGGTGGTGGTGAGGAGGGTGTCATTGATGGGGGTGAGGAGGGGGGTGAGGAGGGTGTCATTGATGGTGGTGAGGAGGGTGGTGAGGAGGGTGTCATTGATGGTGGTGAGGAGGGTGTCATTGATGGTGGTGAGGAGGGTGTCATTGATGGTGG